TGAGAGAGAACATCACTCACCCATCTGAGAGGGATGTTGGATGCATCTCCATCTACAAGCTCAAGAGGAAATCCATCAAGCAACAACTCTGCACACAGTTTGGGCAGATGCTGCAGCTGCTGACGTGCTGGATCTGTTTGTAGAAGGGACAGTGAAGCTTCATAGATCTGACCCATTTCACGGAAGAAGTGTTCAATCCTCAGTGAGCTGTTGGAAATTTGTCTGTCAATTTCTTTGATCTCCTCTTTGTTCTCAGAGTTCTTGCATTTTTCTTTATATTTCTCCCAAAGTTGACACAGTTTTACACGAGACAGGTTATCCAGGTTCATTTGCATCCATTTCAGGAAATAAAACCTCTTTGTTCCTAGCCTTGATATTGCATCAAAGAACCGTGTCATAGCTGTTGACATGTCATAAGAGTTCTGCTTTTTCCGCAGTTCATTTTTCTGTAGCTGAAGTTCACTTTTGTAATCTTCAATATTTTTAGAGCCAACTTTTCGAAGTCGAAATTCTTCCTTCTCTAAGCAGGTCAGTTCTTTCCATATTTCACCTTGCCGTGGAAGCTGATCTTCTTTGAATTTAAGGATGTCTTGAATTTCTGCAGTGATGGCCTCTGCATTTGTCTTTGCAGTCTGACACTCTGGAGAGTCTTCATCAACAAGGATTCCCAGTTCATAGGCAATGTCTGCCATCTGCTCTATTGCCATCTTCGTCTTTGAGTTCCTCACCACATCTCTGACTTTTTTTCTCAGATCCTTTATGAGTTTTGCATCATTTTTCTGTTCTGTCTTTAAAACTATGTTATTATTATTTAAGCCCAATTTGGTTGCGAGTCTTTTCAAAGTATCTTCACTGAAACTCTTTCTCTGATAGTTACCCACTAAGAAGATCTGTGCTTTATGGTGTTGGTTGGAAAGTAGACTGAATTCAGATTCAGAGCCTAAATCGTCAAAGAACACAAAAACTGCTGCAGATGTCTGACACAGAAAGGAGTATTGTGTTTCAAATGAAGCAATGTCCCCACGTAGATTTGCTACAGCCACTGGCTGACTGAAAATATCACTGTTTGTGTTTCCACCAGGAAGATACCAAGTAATTTCAGTCAATCCGTAGGATATTCTTCTTGGACTGTCACCACACTCCATGTTGCGATGAACAAAGGTGTCATGGTACTGCTGAGAATTGCTCAGAACCTTATTGAGAATCTCTGACTTGGACGAGGAGCACTCACCCAGTCTGACAAAAGAGATCATTGGAAGTTCAGAGAGAACGATTCTGTCTTCAATGAAGCCCTTGGACTCTGACAGAGACTGAGGTCTGTACTTTTTAACAATGTCTCTCATGGCCCACAGCATAAGTGTGCACTGATTGGTGTCACAATTGGGAAGCAGCAGAGGAACAGAGAACTGACACATGGACATTTTTAGTGCCATTTCCTGCTGCAGAAAACCATCAGAACATAGAAAGAGAGCAGTGATTATGTCAAGGGGGTTTATCAAGTCATCTGTGTCTGAGCTTGTAAATAAAGTAGGTAAACTAATCTCTGTGGACCCTGATGTATTATTGCTGTTTGACTCACACACTGATTTATATGTCATATCCCTAGCTGTCACATTTACCATAATGAGTTTTTTAAGAAAATAGCATGGGAGGTCTGATTTGCACTTGGCAGGTTCATCATTAACGCTCTTCTCACCCATCTCAAGTATTGTGCTTAGTGATAGCTTCTCTCTGTAGTACTGTTCCAGGCCCAGATCCTCAAACATGGTCTCCAGGTTTGTTTCTGTCAATAAAAATATTCTTGTTATTTCTTCAGAAATTTTAGGCATTTGATTGTTTATAGCATAGGTCCAAAATGAATGAGGTTGTTCACACAAGAACTCTGGCTTTTGGGCCTTTCATGGTCACTTATAACAAAGTGTTTATCGCACATGATTTGCTTGACAATGTTTTAAAGCCAAGTGTGTAGATGTGTATATACTAGAGATGGACCGATCCGATATTACGTATCGGTATCGGTCCAATACTGACGTAAATTACTGGATCGGATATCGGTGAGAAATAAAAAATGTAATCCGATCCATTAAATATCAAAAAAGCACCTCACAAAACTTGCGACACGGCTCATAACCGTAGCACGTCGGAGCAGTATGTGTCACGTGATAGAGCGGCTGTGTGTATTTGTAGCCTGGCTACCAAACCAGCATTTCATCTCCGACAAAGTTATCCCAGAGAGAAGTAAAGCAAGTGTGTAAGTTCATCTCTGAATGTTTGTAAAGCATTCCCGCGTTAAGCTTAACAACCGATATATGGAGCGACTGCCTCTCTCTCCCTCCCCTTCCTGCTGCTACTTCAATCGTGAAACTGCTTAATGATCAGCTGATCGACGAGTCCGTCTCTCTTCTTTGTTTTTGGCCCACTTTGCACCAGAAAGAGGAAACGAGCGGCTGAACAACAGCAGCACATTTAACCTTGATAAGCTGTCGTTAGAATTTATTTAATATTACTTTCTACACCAGGATCCTTTTCTACGTAGCTGACGGCTGGTAACTGTGCAGGGGCGGATCTAGCAAAGTTTAGCCAGGGGGGGCGATAGGGCATGAACAGGGAAAAGGGGGCACAAAGACATACTTTTCTTTCTTATTGTCATTTAAAATGTCTCGCTTTTAATAAATAATTATCTGAATCTTACACCCAAAGTTTTAATCTGATGTAAAATATATAGAAGTCCATTACTGTATATAGTAACTGTTAAGTCTAATATACCCAAGTAAGCTATAGTACTTTTTCCTTTGGGAAGATACCATCTGTGCAGTCTGCAATTCTGTTGAAGAAAGATGTTGAATCTATTTAATTATTCTTGAAAAATAATTTATTTCTGTGCATTTTCCCCCCTGCATCAAATTAAATTTGATTACATCGATTAAGCATCATGAGGTGGAGGGTGGGTGGTTCCCTATTTTCTTTTGCTTGGAGTTTGCAACCCTATTAGTTAGGTTGCTTAATATTTCTGCTAAGTACTCTTTAAAATACCAGAATAGGGAGGATGGAGTAGGTTTAAGTTTATTAGATTGATCAGTTTTTCTGAACTATGAAATATTTTGGGTGCAGTGTGTTTTTTTACATACAGGTATAACAGAATAACTTTAGTGTTGTTGTTTATTTAAACTTGAGTATGAACTTATACAAAATGCAGCAAGATATTTAAAAAAACAGTTTTATTGATTAAAAACACACTATATTGGATTCATATCGGTATCGGCAGATATCCAAATTTATGATATCGGTATCGGACATAAAAAAGTGGTATTGTGCCATCTCTAGTATATACACATACACATATTCATGTATATATATATGTGTTTATGTATTAAGATATAAGATCATTGTGAGGATAATTCCTGCCTGAATTACTGAATTGTGCCGACCTTTTCAGAAGTTTTTTAAATTTATTTTATTTGAATTTATTTTTTAAATTTATTCCTGCCAGAATCATTGCAAGAATAAATTATGGAGAAGATTCAGAACAGTTTATGAACCAAAGAATACCACATCATCTGTAAATCAGAATGGAGGCAGTGTGATGCCTTTGCCGCACATAGGGCACAAGGACACTAGTGTTTATTCCTGATATGATGCTGGACAGAAGCACCATGCTGTCTGCTCAAATCCACCTAAATGTAGTCAAACTGATTGGATAGCGTTTCATAATTTAGATGGACAATGACCCATAGCATACAGCAAAAGCAAGCCAAACCAGAAGTTTATTAAAGCAAAGAAGTGGAATATTCTCGAATTGCCATGTCAGTCACCTGATCTTAATCCAATTGACCATGCATTTCAACTGTTGAAGATGAAACTTCAGACAGAAAGTCCCAGAAACAAAAAACAAGTGAAAGCTGCTGCAGTAAAGGCCTGGCAGAGTATTAAAAAGAAAGAAACACAGCATCTGGTGATGTCCATGAGTTCAAGGCTAATTCTCAATATGTGTACTTGAGTGTGCTTGGATTCTCATGGACTTGGTCTTTGACACATGATGTAGCACAATTACTGTTCTAATACAAAATACGCACCAAGTCAAATTTCCTGGATAAGTTCTTTCTCCTCCCATTTTATTGAGCATGTATGAGTGGTGACTTGTGTGCACTTGGTGCAGCCAAATATCCCAGAATGCATTTGGTCCAAAACTTAAACATGGCAACGATGGAAGACAGCAGCTAAAATTTTTGAGGATGTAGATGTGTAAACATTAAATATCTGCTTGATTTATCAAGACATGATATATTTGCAAAAGTGCTCCAACATTTTTGAAGATTTCTGTTACCCCAGCAGCAATAGTTGACTGGGAGGTCAAGGCTCACTAGAGCCTGAGAGAATGACTGACTCACAGTACATCATCTCCAAACCCCCCAACCTACAGTCTTTTGCTACTCATGTTTTTTTTTGTTGTTGTTGTTGTTTGGGAGGTTTTGCCGCTCCGTCTGGCACTGTTGCAATCAGAATTATTGTCTGAAAGCCAATAAAAATGTTTGACAGATTTCATTTTCCCAAGTGAATCATTACACCTTTGCCATACTAACCATCCCACCCAGAAAAGAGCTAGGACTCTCCTCAGATCCAACCGAGTCACAAGCGCTAGAACCTGCCAAGTAGCAGTCGGGAGTGAGTCAGTACACACCCGAGCAACAAGCCCCCGCACTCTGAGAACCACTAACACACCAATGGCTGAGGGCATCAGCCACTAGCAAGGAGTGTGGTGAGGGAGACAAGGCCCCACACCTGAGGGGGCCTTAGATGTTCTCAGAGGAATGGAGTCTAAGACCTGACCTGACACGTAGACATAGACAAACAGGCACACACAGGCACAAACATGCATTCCCACCCTCACCCACTCTGCGTGCTTTTTTAAAGTGCATTTGAAACCTGGGAGTGGCATGATATTTTCTGCCAAAGCAGAATAAAGGTTGGTGTCAGCACGGCCCCTCCTGGGAAGCCTCAATGTCTACATGTATTTAAAATTGAGAGGTGGAACTGGAACCTCTCTGACTGAGGTGGAGCTGTTTTGAAAAGAAGAATGGGCAAAAATTTCAGTCTCTAGATGTGCAAAGCTGGTAGAGACATACCCTAAAAGACTGGCAGCTGTAATGGCAGCAAAAGGTGGTTCTACAAAGTATTGACTCAGGGGGGTGAATAATTACGCACACATATTTTAACAGCTCACTCTTAATTAAATCCAACATTTAAAATAATTTTATCCAGGCGGAACTATTTTCAATAGGGGCAGAAATGGCATGTTGATACATGGAGATCCTGAAGACTGCTCCAGAAATGATCAAATAATGTTTTTAATATTTATTTAATTGTCTTACAAACACCAGCTGTCTGTAAATTTTGAGTCGCTACTAAAATAAAAATAAAAGAATTCTAACATCATACCTGTTTGTTTTTATTCAGTAAGCAGTGTGAGCTGTGCATACATGTACAATATTTTCATTAAGAGACATTAAGTTTGTTTTTCTGTCATGTAGTGAATTTCCTAAACTGTATGAAGCTTTGTGGTAATGTACAGAACCAAAATTTATAAAAAGGTTGCCTTTGTCCAAATATTCATGGTCCCAACTGTATATTTTTTACTTACTTGATTCAGTAGGGTTACCAACAGGATGGCTTATGATTTTGCCCATAATTTCTGCAGGATTCTGTGAGGCGTACTGCTCCTCCTAACTAATAGGAGCATCCAAATGTTCAGACACTGACTCACTGTTGAAAAAAAAAACAATGTTGTCTTCACATGACAGCAAGAAACTTTGGGAATAAAAAAAGGAGTAATGATATTAACAATGTTTTACCTACAGATTATATTTTATTTTCCCATTCTGCTGCATCAAAGGGAATAAAGCTGATTTTTACCTTCTGTATCAGTCTGTTCACAGTCCCTGCAGGCAGAGCACAATGTTGACGGTGGGTCTTTTACTTCCTTACAAAATAGCTCCGCAATGTCATCACTGATTTCTTTTTGACAGATGATGAAACAAATAAACAAAAATAAATGTTTTTAATACGTACACATTTTCTCATTGAGACAGGTTCTTGTTTCATTTATTTTACCTCCATTGTTGTTGCAGACTCTGTCAGTCCACCGCTGCTCTAGATTATTCAGGCAGCTTCTGTCTGATGACAGTAACAAATGGCATTTAATTCACTATTTACGCCCAAAAAACTATTTCATATCTCACATTTTGATAAAAGACCACCAATGTCTTGGCCCTGTCCTTCATCACATGAACTACTTAAACTAGTATATAGAATGAAAAAGAAAAAAATATTGAGAAAATGCTGAACTTTATTATCAGGCTCTTTTTGTGTTCCCGTGGCATAATACTTCTGGGCCAACAGAGGAGTCTAATAGTACCTAAAGCAAAGGTACGCTTCTTATTATATAGAAGTCTGAAGTTACAAAGATAATAGTAAAATTAGTAAGCCTTTAAAACAACCACCACCTTTGAACCCAAACCACACACACTGAATGAATATATGTAACACGCATGGCAGACCCGACCGCAAAGTTCACTTTGTAACACTTTAATTTCCGGTTGCTGTTCTCTGTAACACTCCTTGGTTGCAGCTTTTCAGCTGCCAGCCACACATACACCACCACTAACAATCACACTCAGGACCAAGCACAGACTTTTATGCAGGGGAGGTGTGATGAGCTGTTGCAGAGGCATCTTACACTATGGATATAAATTTATGTGAATAATTACTGATGTAAAAGGCATCTTTGCAAAATGGACGGCTTCGTATAGAGCACTTTTCTACTCTATCTGAGCCGTCAAAGTGCTTTATACAGCAGATCTCATTCATCTATTCACAGAAGCACTTTTTTTAAAGGCATAAATGTTCTCTATATAACATTCAACATAACCTAGTAGACAAAACTAACTAGGGTTCCAATAGTTATTATTTTGGTCTTCCTAAACATGCACAGAACAGATACATAACTGACAAAAGAACAGCATAAAACAACCTAGATTCATAGAAGAGACTTACACAAAGGAAACATTTTATTCTGTCATTCAGTCTCTTTTTTAAATTCTGCAGTATTGGTAGCAAAATTATTCTCTCCTTACTATGGATAAATTACTCCCTTCCAGTGTGTTTGTCTCTTTGGCATTGCGGGGGCTTTCTAACGATCCATTACACTGTAAGTAGTTTTACTTTTCAACTTTGTGGTTTCTTGTAAAACTTTTTAAACTACAGATAATTTAGTGGACTGAGGTTTACATGTTAAGTTTAAAGACTTAAGCATTTCTTTAAATGCTCAAGTTTTATGACCTTTACATGTTGTTTCAAACACTTCCTGTTCTCAGATTAAACTGATACTTAGAGTAAAATTTGTAAACCTATTAGGCAATACCCATCCTCCACCCACACACACTGTATGCACACACAGGCAGGTATCCACAAAGCACCAACCACCACTCCCTCATGGGAGGAAATTCCATTTAGTTGTTAGCACACTGTGTCTCAACGCATAAAAATATGCAAGTTGTTTGGCGATGCCTAGATGTTACATGAAACAATCTAATATTGACAGAGACGTAAAGTAACAGAACAACAATACCCATGCAGTTTAAGCTGACACACCCATGTCTTTGCTGAACTTGTGAAAAGCCAGATTCTGTTTTCTACACTAATAGCGATCTATAATATCTTGCCTGTTACAACAGACTTCCAAACTGCCATTGCTCTACAGCAGCCTAATAAATATGCATAAAACAATTTCATCATGAAAAAAACAATAATAAAAACCTTTTGTATATCAAGCAAAAGCAGTGAATACAGGCTATTATTAATCATAAGGTGGCATGTTAGACTAATGTGTGCAAATAGCAGATAACTCCAAATCGTGTCTATCTGTGAACGCTTTATATAATAATAAATCGGCAAACATAAATGTGAGGAAAAAATTCTGTTATCTGCATTATCAGGAAGATTCTGCTTGTGGTAGCATGTTGAAGTTTGCATTGGGTTGAATGTCTTGGATAATCTTACTCACTTTCTTCACTGCATTTGAAACTCTGGATCTCAGGGGACAAAGTCTCTCCCAACTCTGATAGTGGGGAAGGCAGGTTACACCATGAATCAATGTATGCTTGTTTAGTTTGATACAGGTTTTAAGGAAGATGACTTCTTTATCATGCAAATAACAAAAATATTATTGACAAAAGAACAATACAAGAACCTACCTTTAAAGTATGAGATTTCTTTCCCTTTTCCTGCAGTATTGGCATTAAAATGGTTGTCACGTAAAACATAGAGGAAACATTTCCTTTCAATCCTTGAAGGAGTGTATTGTGTGGGAAATATGACATCCTTTTTATACTGCTGGGTCACTTTCACTTTCACTCTGATCATGTGATTTAAAAAAGAAGAAGAAAGCGAATGCTGAAGCCATGAGACAATATGCAGTTCTCCTATATAATGAAGAATTAGGTTTTAGGTTTATAGTCATGTTATGTTCTCTCTTATAACTTAACTGGTAATCCAGCTTTGATGAACACAATAACTATCAAACAATCAAGATATTTTCAGGTAAATGCTGTAACCCAACAATTTTACTTAAACTGAAATATGACACCTATAGGGATTTACAACATGGAGATAGGTTGTTTGCTATTAAACATTTTAACTGCTTTACTTACAAAATGAACTGGAAACCTATAATTGGGGTGCTCTGCAATTTCTCTCAGGGTAACATGTCGATTTTCTTTTGTAGTGGCTTCCCCTGTGTGTGACTGGCTTTCATTGACGGGTTGAAGGACTGGACGAACTGTTCAGCTTGTCCATTTGTTGCAGGATGATGGGGGGCTGAAATGATATGTTATATGCTGTTACTCCTAAGGAAACACTGGAACTCCTCTCCAGTAAACTGACGACCATTGTCACTTACGAGCTGTTGTGGCAGACCTGTGGGTGCAAACAGTGGCCGAAGACTATTGATCGTGCCGGCAGCCATTGCTTGCTTTACAGGGAAGAGTTCTGGCCACTTTGAGTGAGCATCAACCATAACCAGGAAGATTTGGTCCATAAATGGGTCTGCATAGGCTATATGATTGCGTTGCCATTGAGTGGATGGCCACTCTCACGCGTGCAGGCACGTGCAGAGGGGGCGGCGGGAGGGGCTTGAGCACCCGCCCCTTTCCTGATGGGTGCCCAAAGTGCCCTTTTGTTGAGGCAACTTTTTTTTATTTTTTTATTTTGTTTTAAATGTGTGTGTGCTTGCGGAGTCCTGTCTGTGCCCCTCAAAAATAATATTTAACTATTAATCATAGTTTTTGATAAATAAAAGGGCTTGCATCAGTCACATGATCGCCATTAACCAATGATCGCCCTTGACCGCAGAGTGTGCTGGGAACGAGCTCAAAAAGAGCACGCGCATTTTTTGCGGTCTGGAGCTGTAAGAGAAACACAAATTAACTCAGAGACATAGACTGATGCACACACACACACAAACAGTAAGTAGGGGACACGTTGGTAAGTTGTCTTGTGGATACTGACGAATTGAAACAAATGAGCGTGCTGTGTGTGTAACAGCACGACAAACATTACCTGTCCTTTTATTAAATGCACAAGTAGTGGTCGTCATATCTGCTGGCTGACTGGGTAAGGTTGTCATGGGTCTGCAGCTCTGTCCACCGTTTTATTGAACATATTTAGTATTAAAGTAAGTTACAAGGCTTTACCTGCCTTTCTGGAAGACTTATATTTCACTAAAAACGATCTAATATTCATGTCCACATAATTATGGATTACTATAATTGTAATATTTAAAAAAACACGCTGCATTTTAAAGAATATGCATTAAGAAACAGA